TTGAAAGGGCAGATCTGATAAATTCCTAGGGGAAGTTCGTTCAATACAACGCGAAAAGTTCGCCCAAAAAGTCAAATGAAAATCAAATGGGCGACTTCCTGTGGGGTTTGGGGTATGTGCTCAAGAGGCTATTTTGTACGTCTCGGCACCTTACACGTGCCTACCGAGTTTCGTACATAAGTCGGTGAACGTGGCGGCCGGGGCTGCTATTTTTAAATGCCTGTAGGGGGCGCTACAAACCGACAAACACGATTTTTGTAATGTGAGCTTCAGGCAGCCACTCATTACTACACGTGCACTGTGAATTTCATAATTTCATCAACTATATACGGTCTCCGCACAGTGATATAACATAGCACCAGAGCCGCCCCACCTAGTGGCGGATCCCGTTTGACACATTTATTTAGTGAGTCTCAGGGAGCCATGGGCAAACGCATCGTACCAAGTTCATTTTAATCAAGCACGTGCCGATGCAGAGATATAATTTTCCATTTTAAAGAGCGCCACCCACTAGTGTGATGGCCTGAAATTTTGCAGGCGATGCCCCTAAGGAAGACATGTGGAACTAAGTGGATTGCAAGTTTGTGTCAATCGGACATGGCCAATATGGAGAAAATGCTCGCACTTCGCTGTTTTGACCAAAATGTACAGGAGGTAATAAATTTATTAACAGGCTGATTTTTTGAAATATCAAAATTCTTCGAATCAATTTTTTGGCCCAGAGACGGTCCCCAGATGATACATAACAATTTTCGTGAAATCGGACAAAGCATAAGGTAGTAACACGAGAACTAAAGGTAGATTTTGGACAGCGAACGTACATTCAAAAACCTTATATCCCACCGCAATTGTTCCGCGGTGGAAATATAAGGTTTTTGAATGTAGACAAATGATTGGCGGGAGTATATTAGCTAAAATAATTTTTTGACGGTAGGCAGCCACCTAGTGGCCACCGAAAGTTGCGCATAGAATATAAATTTTTCCGCACCGACTGACAATGTGCGCCCAAAAACTTTCGTTTCATGAGTTTTCGAGCATGTTGAGGCCTCCAAAAATGCGTTTGTTTAGGAGGAAAAATAAGAAAAAGAAAAAGAATTCCTTCAATTACACGTTCAGTGCGAAGGCCCTATTGAATTATTACTGGTTGTGATTTAATAATAGTAATGAAAGCTGTTCCTCAGTCTTACACACACATTACCTATAGTGTAAATCAGTCGTTCCCAACCTGGGGGTCGGGCCCCCACTAGGGGTCGCCAAAGCCTCACAGAGGTTTTAAGGGTCTACAGTCGGCTGTAAGTGAAGTGGTTGTTTTTAAAGTGTAGAATATAATTGGAGATGTGAACACAGTCTATACTGACAGAACAACGAGAAGAAGAATATTAAGTCTGTTAAAAATGATATGTTCACTCTTTGGGTTCATTGGACAGTTTATCAGCTGTGATTGATACTGATCAATAGAATATGAAATACAGCTGTATGTAAAGTTTGACACATTTTGGTTATTTTCTTCATAAAAAGACAGCCTCCGTATGGAACATTAGACAATAGCAAACATTCATTGTTGTCAAAAATAAAACACAAACTGTTACACAAATCATCATTGTGTAACAGTTTGACAAGTCTCAGTCTGTTTAACGAGGTCTCGTTAGGCCTGAGGCAGGTCAACAGCTGTGATCAGGAACCATCAGCTGGTTTCAGGCCTTTCCAACCCCACTCTGACTCTCTGAACACAACCAGGGCTTCCTCTCAGCAACTGTCCACAGTCTCCACAGTGTGAACTAACAGAGGGCAGTTTAGGGGGACTGTGGAGGTCAACATGAGATCTGAAGACCAAGAAAGGTCTCAGAGAAAACCACCAGAACCTCCCAGTCCCTGAGTGAGTAAGTACTGACACTGATCTCTGTTCAGTTTATGAAATACACGGAAACAATGAATGTACACGTGTTTACGCCTTTTCAGAAAAAAATCCCCAAAATGTCAACGAGGCACAAACTTTACTACAGCTGTATAAAATACAGTCAAGGATGATCAGTAATCGAGCAGTCATTGATTCACTTTAATATCCATATAGATTACTACCACGTGCTACGATGCCCAGTGGCTTACAGTAACCATGGCGATGGAACGCTTTCTATGATCACTGATTGGTTGCTTGTTTGAGTGACTTCACTACAGACTACTAGACTGCAGTGGCAAGATTGACTTCTTTATTGATTAGATATCACAACTTACCTGAGTGACATCTCGCCTCACCTGGTTCAGATTTAAACACCTGAGTGACATCACGCCTCACCTGCATACATGTGGAAGGTGAGCCTCTCAATCAGTTTCAGGACCGTCCCTGCTTTGATGATGGGGATCCCGGACTTGGACTGGACGTTCTCCTCGAACACGACATTCTCCTCGGAGTCCGGCTCAGCGAACCGGTACACTTCGGCTCCCGGCAGCCTCATCTGCTCCTCCTTCTCCTCCTGCAGCATGGCCGAGTCCAGCATGCGCTCCAGCGTGCTGCGGTATTGCAATGAGATCAGCGCTGCCATCCAGCCATTCTTCTCCTCGGCGGACTTGGCGGCAAACACCACGCTGTTCCCGTCCTTCAGGATGATCTCGAAGGCATGGCGGTACTCACCCTCCTTGTCGTCCTTGTCATTTATCTGGACTTTGCGCATGAAGAACTTTTCTTTCAGCCGGTACTCTGCAGTGGAGCTGGCGCCGGGCAGCCGTGGCGGTCCGTGGTTGGACTTGCAGCAGATCATCAGGCCATCGAACAGGAAGATGTGGCGCTCGTGTTTGGCGCCCACACGGGTCAGCGTACCCTCCATGATGAACTCGTTGCAGCACTGGCCAATGTCCTTCCCCTCCCATCCGTCAATGTTCTTCTGGATCTCGTTCATCTTCTTGATGGCCAGGTGCTTCCCCTTCATCTGATGGCTGTAGAAACGACACGCCGACTCGCTGCACACCACAGAAGAAGACATAGTTAATCATGATCCTTTAGTCTGTGCTCAGGGAGGAAACTCTTGGATCTGAGTTCTGATTTCAGTAAAAACGGGAGGTGTTAGTGCTATGACCAGGACCTGCTGCTAAGAGCTGATCTTAAAAAGTCCCTGTAATAACCAACCATAACTAACCATACCCAACCAACTAGCTAGCTGACTCACTGAATAACTAACCAACCAACATACATTCCTACGTTGCTAACTAAGTTGCTAGCTAACAAATTCAACAACCCACTGACTGATTAGCTAATGAACTAGCTAACTAACCAAGTTGCTAGCTAACTATGTTGCTAACTAATTAGCTAACTAACCAACCAACCAACCAACCAACTGAACTACTAGCTAGCTTACTAACTAACTAACCACCCAGCTGCTGTTTCTAATGGTTCTACAGAGACCTCCTGCAGCTCGCTGCAACAGTATAAATATAGAAATATTACATGATGATTATCATTGAAACTACAGATTTTAAATTGTTAGTCATTTATAGCTCTTCTACTGTTAACATGGAAACAACAACTAGATTTATATTGATTGATTGTTAACATAAACAATCCAACTCAAAGTCAACTGTCAACACATCCATCTCCATGACAACTGACACTCCACCCTGTTGTGCTGATGAAGACCATGAGGTATGGCAGTAAGTGGACCTTGAGTTGAAATTGTTTTCACTGAATTTTATGATGTCACAGTGTCACAGACAGACGGGAAGTAAGACGTACTTCCTGTCTGAGTCAGAGAGATGTTCCCTCATCTCATTGGGTTGTTTCTTTACATGTTTATCATGTGACAGCAGAGTGAGTTTTGATTGGACGACACAGTCAGGGTCTGTACAAACCGGCGAGGCCGCTGTGACGGCCGGCGCGCTCCAACAGGAAGTGAGGTCAGGAAGACCTCCAACCTCAGCTGGGACAAACAGTCGGACTGGTACACAAAGACACATGACATCATCATCACTGTGACATCATCCCATACAGCTGCGTGCTGTTCTGTTTGCCCTGCAGTGAGTCTGACAGGTTCACAGTCCTTCAGTGGTTCTTCCTGCTGTAATCACTGCACTCATACTGAACACTCTCTGACCCTACAGTCCTCCGCCTGTGGGACAGTTATCTGAAGACACATAAGCTACAGATCTTTTGCTGTTGGTGTTGATAATGAGGTGGGCAGTGACTTTAGTACTGAACACGCTGTAACTAACATATTTACTTCAGTAAAGGACATGAAACACCGAGTACACAGAGTATTATTTACTGTATTATACAGTATATAATACATACTGTAAGATACAGAGTGTTATTTACTGTATTATACAGTATATAATATATACTGTAAGATACAGAGTATTATTTACT